GGTGCTTGATAATTTTTTTCGACGATTTCCAATAATTAATATCTCCTAAACTAAAAGAGTTAGCTACCAACGAATTGCTGATTATGAAAGATTGGAAGATTCTCTATCAGATAAAAATATAAAATAATTATATTTCCTACAGTAAAAGGTCGAAAAACGCGACTAAAAGTGCTAAAAAGTGACATTTTGCAATTTTTGTCGGTTTTCTTCAATCGCGAATATCTCGTAAACTAAAAGAGATAATTAAGATCTGATCGCAGCGTCTTAATCTACGGACTATTCTCTATAAGATAGGATAGTTAAAACGGAAATCTGAGAGATGAAATTTTAATTCTTAAGAAAAAATTGCCAAGGGGGGGTGCTTGATACTTTTTCGAGGATTTTCGATAATTCATATCTCGTAAACTAAAAGCGCTAGCATCCAACGAATTGCTGATTATGAAAGATTGGAAAATTCTCTATCAGATAAAAATATAAAATAATTATATTTTCAATAGGAAAAGGTCGAAAAACGCTACTAAAAGTGCTAAAAGTGACATTTTGCAATTTTTGTCCATTTTCTTCAATCGCGAATATCTCGTAAACTAAAAGAGATAAATAAGATCTGATCGAAGCGTCTTAATCTACCGACTATTCTCTATAAGATAGGATAGTTAAAACGGAAATCTGAGAGATTAAATTTTCATTCTTAAGAAAAAATTGCCAAGGGGGTGCTTGATACTTTTTGCGAGGATTTTCGATAATTCATATCTCGCAAACTAAAAGCGCTAGAATCCAACGAATTGCTGATTATGAAAGATTGGAAAATTCTCTATCAGATAAAAATATAAAATAATTATATTTTCAATAGGAAAAGGTCGAAAAACGCTACTAAAAGTGCTAAAAGTGACATTTTGCAATTTTTGCCCATTTTATTCAATCGCGAATATCTCGTAAACTAAAAGAGATAATTAGGATCTGATCGCAGCGTCTTAATCTACGGACTATTCCCTATAAGATAAGATAGTTAAAACGGAAATCTGTGAGATAAAATTTTCATTCTTAAGAAAAAATTGCCAAGGGGTGCTTGATACTTTTTTCGGGGATAATTCATATCTCGTAAAGCGCTAGAATCCCACGAATACTTTTTAAAATAATTATATTTTCGAAAAGGTCGATTTTAAAAGGGACATTTTGCATAATTATCTCGTATATCTCGAAGCGTCTTAAACCGACTAAAAGATAGGATAGTTAAAACGGAAATCTAGAGATTAAATTTTCATTCTTAAGAAAAAATTGCCACGATACTTGCTGATTATGAAAGCGCTATTGCTGAAAATTGGAAAATTCTCTCTATCAGATAAAAACTATAAAAGTAATTATATTTTATTCAATCGCGAATATCAATAGAGAAAAGGTCGAAAATCTACGGACTATTCCCTATAAGATAAGATAGTTAAAACGGAAATCTGTGAGATAAAATTTTCATTCTTAAGAAAAAATTGCCAAGGGGGTGCTTGATACTTTTTTCGAGGATTTTCGATAATTCATATCTCGTAAAGTAAAAGCGCTAGAATCCCACGAATTGCTGATTATGAAAGATTGGAAAATTCTCTATCAGATAAAAATATAAAATAATTATATTTTCAATAGGAAAAGGTCGAAAACGCTACTAAAAAAATTAAAAGGGACATTTTGCAATTTTTGTCCATTTTCTTCAATCGCGAATATCTCGTAAACTAAAAGAGATAAATAAGATCTGATCGAAGCGTCTTAATCTACGGACTATTTTCTATAAGATATGATAGTTAAAATGGAAATCTGAGAGATAAAATTTTAATTCTTAAGAACAAAATTGCTAAGGGGGGGTGCTTGATACTTTTTTTCGAGGATTTTCGATAATTCATATCACGTAAACTAAAAGCGCTAGAATCCAACGAATTGCTGATTATGAAAGATTGGAAAATTCCTTATCAGATAAAAATATAAAATAATTATATTTTCGATAGGAAAAGGTCGAAAAACGCTACTAAAAGTGCTAAAAAGTGACATTTTGCAATTTTTGTCAATTTTCTTCAATCGCGAATATCTCGTAAACGAAAACAGATAAATAAGATCTGATCGTAGCGTCTTAATCTACGGACTATTCTCTATCAAATAAGCTAGTTATATTGGATATCTAATAGATGAAATTTTAATTTATATGAAAAAATAGTTCTGAAGGTTTCACTTCAACCGCGTGTGAACTGCACACATGATTTTTTTTGTAGGTTTATTCCACTGGTCAGTTTGATTTTTCTTTCCGACGACGACGACACGCTCGTTGCCCGCGTCTCTTTTGATGCGTAAAATCGATATGCTCATATGTACATCTATTTATACGCGCGCGCCGGCCTCATATGTGACGAGCGTACGTAATTCACATACAAACGGCATCGCGATGATAAAAGCGCTCGTTTTCGCGCGCGCATTATGCCCATCTTCACTTCGTTCCAGCTCGAAAGCGCGCGGCGCGCTCGAAGATTCAGCGGCACGACGCGCGACGGTTACAGTTCATAAGCGACAGTCGCGTTGTCACATACTTTTTTACTCCTTATCTCCGTTGTCCTTATATCTGTTTAGTTTTATTCTCTTTCGGTTATTTTTAGCTGCCGCGCGCATACTCGACGCATACCGAATGTTCCGTATACGCTCGGATCTGATAACGACAGGGCTTTCATACCCATCATATTTTTCTACACTCACATGCGTTTCTTTGATCAATTCATGGACGTCTTTTTAATGTTTAAGAAGCACATTATTCACCAACGACTAGAATAAGTATCAAACATCCTGTAGAGTGTTGTTTTGCGTTGTTTTCCACGTCGGAAAAAAACTTGTATCGATTTTAACTCGAGCATACTGTCCGTTTAGGACTGGTGACGAAACGCTGCACTTTAGTTTACACTCGAAATAATTCATAACCTCAACAGTAGCCCCGTAATCGCCATGAAGCACGAAACACGTCGCCGGGTAATCCATATATTATTCGCTATTTTCAGTTTGTATGTGTATGTGTAAAAAATATTTTAATATGTATTTTTATTCGTTTGTGCGCCTACGACTATTTTTAGGCTAAATTTTTCACGTTTGAGGTTATCTAAGGCGTTTCAGGCGGGAGTATGTGGCCACAACCGCATAATATTGTAGTAGACATTCTTGCGATCGCATAAACCTGGCATGCGATGCCAAATTCGTCGAAATTGTGGAATACTCTTTGGAATATAAATCGAAAAGGGACTCGTGACCTACAGGATCATCGATAACATTCCTATGTCTTTCAGAAACTCACTGAAAGCGTAAAGAGTTTCTTGATGCTTCAAACACTTTGTATATGGAAATATCCAAAGACAAATAATATTGTGCATTCCTCAATGCGTCGCCGTCCTAAGAATATGAGAGCTTTCGTGGCTGTTTCTGATCTGAATATATTTCTGGGGGGCGATATTGAGTCATTCGGGAAAAGTGGATTATACTAAGCCGCGCGCCCGTTTTTCAGTTTCAGCGCTGCTCGCGTTTTTGAAAACAAAGTGATGTATTGCGATGTATCGCTTATTCGGGCGCGGATGAATGTAGGATGTGTTGTGTGTGCGGGGGTGTGACGTCTGAGCGGTTCGAGGCGTTGACAAGCGATGCGACATCAAAGCGGCTCTACGCTTCATTATGGTTAATTTCTCTTTTCTCGACGCACGCAGACGCCACTCGTCGTCACCCTCTGCCCCCATCCGGAGAGAGACACATCAAACTCGTCGACGCCGCGGCGAATTCTTTCAGGTTTCGGGCGGCGCAAACGAGCCGCCACCCGCACCAGCTTTACCTCATCATCTTCGGCATCCAGTGCACAATTTACGCCGACTTGATTTCGCAGCCCCGCCGAAACCCCTCCTCCACTGCGCGGCATTTCAATTTTCGTAATTTCCGCTTCACATTACTTAGCCCAGCACGGAGCTTTACTTAGCGCGAGTTACGTAAATAACATCGTTAACAATTACCACCATACCTCTCTTCTCTATCTTCATCTCCACTCAGTTGTGGAGTTACAGAAGAACATTAACATTTCTCCCCGAGTGTGATGAAAAAAACACAGTACGTTTGATGTGGGATTAAGTATTAGGTCCATTCGACACTGGCACGCGCATAGATTACATAAGACTATGAAAACTGCTTTGAGTGGTCCTCGCGAGAGGTAAATTGTAGAAGATTAGAGCGTCGACACAGACCAGTCTCATCCCTCATGGGACGACCATAGGAAACACTGCGAATATGGGATTATTCTCTTGAACATATTATAATACCCCCTCGGCTGGCTTTCGCCCCTGCACCAGTTTCCCACAGCATCGAATCTCTCTGGGTGCCATCACCGTGTAATTGGATCTCTCGGCGTTCGGAAACATACTGCCTGAGTGAAAAATTGATGCGGGGCTGCAAGTGTAATGCGCAACATCCAAGCACAACAAAACGCACTTGTGAATCTTAGAATCTCACTTCCGCTCGAACAATGCAAGGCCTCTCAGGTTCAACACAAACGTTTTTTTCTCTCCTCCACCTACCAGTATTAAATTTTTACTCCGCAACGCCCTGTAGTCGGGTTAAAAGTGCCAAACTGTTGTACTCTGCGAACTGCTACGTTTCAAAGTGCGCAGGCATTGCAATCGTCCTGCGGCAGGGGAGATTCTATTCCATGAATCATAATCGGACATGAATCTATTCGATTTTCAAATTAAATTCATGCATAAACAATGAGCGTCAAGATACAATTCAGCATTCAACACGCGAATCATTGTAATTTGATTTGGTTCGTGCATTTTCGCTCGAAAACAAAGCAAATAATAATAAACTAACTCGATGGTAATTATAATTTGCGTCTGGTTAGTTTTATATTTCGTTTTAGAATTAATTTTAATGCAACTGTTTTAATTTGCAACGCTTTGTTTTATTTGTCGTGTGTGTTTGTTTGCCTACGATGTGATTCAAAGCGTCCAGTGCGCGTAACCGCCAATTTTCAGTGCGTATTAATTAGCAGTTTTCACAAGGAAAATCGACGATTTAAGCATTGAAAGTGGTACGTATCGATAGGCAATTAATTTATCTTTAATTTGATATATAATTTTCTATTGGCGCTGATCTGATTCGATGGTTTTCTTTTAGATTGTGTTTTGCGTATAACCTGCATCAAGCAAGTGCAGCGCGCGTCCAGCTGATCACCAAAAATCGTAAGTTATGCTGTTTTTATTTCAATAATTTCTGTCTTAAAGTGTTTATAGTGACTTGTCTCGCCCTTTATGAACTATCCACGATCATATTCTATTATGTTGCGACCGAGAGCACAGCGACTCTCGAAGTTATAAAATGGAATCACGTAAATAATTTAATAACAAAAATAGAATAGGCGTTTATTTTCGTAATATAATATAGTTGTACTCGGGCTCGCCGTGAAATGCCATGAGAAAAGCGAGCGCTTTTCCTCCCGTCACGTAATGGAGAAATAGAGACGCACACTGAAATTCGTTACGTTTCAAACATTCGTTCCATTATTTCCATTATGTCATTGCTGTGTCTCGCATAAACCCACGGAATATGCCATTATCCTAGCGATATCCACGTGAAACTGGAACTGAAACTGGAGCGCAAATTATTTAAATTTATATAGAAAATTGGCGAATTAAATCAGTAATGCAGTAATAGGCGGCTCACCTGGCATGGCTTCGAAGCGTCGGGGCCCCCATTCGAGCCGCTCGTTTCTTCCTTTTTTCAATTTATATAATGACCGTTTTGCGATTGTTCGTCTCGCGCGTCCAACGCTCGCTTGTGTTGTGATTATTGAAATGTTTTTTCGAAACGTAGCTAAACGCGCATTGTATGAAAGAAAAAACACAACAACGTGTTGGTGAGTTGATAGTAAATGAAGCAGATAATTAAGTTTATCACTGTTGTTGTCTTGTTGATGTCTCATAAATTTGCAAGAATTCATATTACACACGACGCTCATGTATGTAGGCTGCTGCCTTAGCCGATATAAGGCGAGACACGCCGACGATGGAGCAAAAAGAGTCCGCCAGTATTAGGAAAGCAATAAGTGCCGAATAATGGAAAACTTCCGTATGCCATACGCGCACTCAGATAAATTAGAAAAGTTTTCCTAACAAATAAGCATCGGACGTATCAGACACGCGAATAAAGAAAGTATAAAGTATCCATGGATGGATGGATGGACCGCGCCGCTCGACGAAAATCGATGTCAACGCTGAAATGGCTGGCAACTCCTCAGCGCCGAAATGAAAAGTATGTTTAGAGCGATCAATTGTATCAATGAGTTTTTCTAATTTTGTTTCACTGCTCTTTCTCTAATCGCAATCCGCTGGAACTACGAATAACGTAGAAAGATAACGCCAGCACTATTGATAAATTTGATTTGTTTGAGTTTCATCCGCGGCGCGCATTCAGACTAAGTAATCTTCAAATATCTTGAAAGCTTTTCTTCATCTTATATTCTCTTATTAGCTTCTGTTTTCCATCCGTCTCGTAGCTAAATTTAATAATTCCATTCGTTACCAGATCCAGACGATTCCTATGTATAATTAGCAAGCGTATAAGAATCAATCACAAGTGCAAGGCAATGTACTCCAGTTGCTACAAAGAGGAGTTGTGTTCCCCGAGCGCAGAATTTCTTTGTGCTCGAGTAAACACGCCGTCCAGCCGCGGCGCGCGGTCCAGCATCTTCGAGTGTTGATATTCGCCATAACTATCGTTTTATGCGTCCGCGATGCATCGGCTTCATTACGATAAATCAAATGCTCAACGATGGGCAACGAATAAAAACCGATTATTATTATAACGTTCCCCAGCGTCCGCGATGCACGACTAGTTAATAGCATTGCAACATTCTGCATGCGCGCGGCAACCGGCATCTTCATGCCTCAGTAGGTTTAACTTGACGCGACATGGCGAGTGTTGGTGCATGTGCGACACACAGCGCATACTTTGTGCATCATCGCCAACAAACGCCGGCATTGTTGTGCGTTTGATGAACAGCGCGCGCATGACACCGGCGCGAAATCATATTGCATTAGCGTTGGCGTTTATTCTAATTGGCAATTTTCTCGTCGATGGTGTTTTTGCGCTCGTTACGCGTGCCATTAGGTACTCCACATCGGCGTGCGTGGATTATATTGATGTTTATTGCGGGCCAGCCTCGAGGTCGGCGTGACATTGAAGGAAATGTCGTCGGAATTGGCTGCGACAGTGTTTTTAATGAGGCCACAAGGTAATGAGGGAATTCAGCGGGCGCATACAAAGCGAACGCTCGAGGGAGACACACCGCGATCTGCAAAGAAGACTTCAGCGCGCGTGCATTTATCAGTCAATCAAAAAGCACACGGTCGACGGGCGAAAGAAGCGCAGCGCGGGCACGATTTCAATCGATGCCAAAGCCGGGGTCAACCAGGGGAATGTTAATTGCCGAATTTTCTGGTGGCGGGCGTATAATTGGATTCCGATGTTGTCCTATTAGCGATTGTTCTTTAATCGTTGTTTTTCGGCGGAGGATCAGTACCCTAAGTCCTAATAGGCGCATGTTCGTGAAGCGGGTACAATGGGAAGCGTGCTGCTGCTTGCACACGTCCGGTTTCCTCTCAGTTGCATGCTGCATTCAGTTTTCCCACTGCATACATTCCCCCTTTTCCTCCGGATTTGTTCTGTCTACGTCTACTTTATTTCCAATCTCTTCATCTATGTTATTGGTATCGTTTCGACACTGCTGGGGTGCATCCCGTGCATCCCCAGCGCGCTGAGCAGTTAATTTCACGTGTCCACTTGTTTCCGTGGTATTTCCATGCATCACGCATGGTATGCACCACGCGCGACGCATTGACATGGTATTACGAAATGAGTGGACTGCTATGGGACTTCTGCAGTTATTTATGTGCAATCGGATGTTACTAATGTGCAGGATTTATGTGTGTGAGTGTGATCTATGTTTGGGTTCGTCCTTTTCCATTGATATACTATCCGTACACAGGGCGTTCAATCAATAACAACGGAATAATCACTCGCATCCACCGGAGTCTCCCAGGTGACTATAAAATCACAACCGAAATCATTTCACTGCCTCCGATGTCGTATAACTCCAACCGGCGAGAATCTTGATTGACCTCGTTAAATATTGATGAGTACGAGGTGATCCTGTATGCGGATGACTCGGGTGCATCCTACAAATGTGCATACAAACGATGAAAGTTGAATTTCATGTGAAAATGCCGAACGTGGCTGCTGGGGGGGTTGCGAAATTTATGTCGCATTGGCATTTTCGTTCTGCTTTCTTTGTTCCTTTTGTTATGGTTTAGTTACTGCTGGTGGTACGCTGCTTTTCGATGATTTACAAATTCTGTCCGCAGATTTATGACGCGCGCACAACTGATAAGATTTGATCAATACGTTTTTAAATAGTTAACTTTTGCAAGCGTTTGTAAGCGCGGAGGAATTTTTGGAGCGGATGGTAAATGTTGGTGCAATTGCATTGCATTGATTTATGCCTGCGGTGGGCAAACGCACATGGAAGATGATAAATTGCTAGGCGAGAGTATTCAATTACGCCTTGATTGAGCACTAAAAATGTCGGGCTCGCGCCAACTTGATAAGCCTATGGTGATATGTCGCGACGACGTGATTGCTCGCCGGCGCGCTGCGATCACAATTGAATTGCGCTAATGCAGTCGTCTTCGTTATGATAATGGTTACACATGAATGCCATTGTATCGGCAACAAACGAAAGCGGTGCGGCTTGCCCTGGGATTTTTCCGCGCCGGCTCGAATTTGAATTTCAATTTAATATTCGAATGCTCAAACTTAAGACTGCGAGAATGTAAATGGAAATGCTGGATGTAAATCTATATGTAAATCAGGCTTTCGGTTCACGCACACTCGATTTCTTGCTCTGGCGCTGGTCGCTGATTAAAAGCAACTATGCAAACGAAGAAATGAATGAATAACAGTCAGAAATAAAGACGTAATATGAATACAATGACATTCACCCACATTCGGCCGCTTGTTCTTCATCGAGATGGTTTATCATACACTTATGCGCGCATGTACGGCTTCAACCAACAAATTAACATAGTAACTTCAAGGCGCAGGTCTCCGGGGACAATCGTACCTACTGTTTGTATTGTGGGCAAATAATTCGATTCCCCAAATTGTACAACAACTTGGAGTCAAGTTTGCTCAGCGAATCATTGTTGGGCTCCGGTCGAGCAGAAAAAGAAACGCGGTCGGGGAAAAAGGTCGAACACAAAGCACGACGCAGGAAATAATTGATGGCGAACCTGCGAGGATGCAGCATGCGAGGATAAAATGTTCGATCGAGACGTGCAGATAAACGTTATCGATGCGTTTGCGCGCTCAAGGTACAACAACCAGAGCACACCATCGCCGAGACCCATCAAACCGAGAGCGGCGCATTGCATCGAAGCACGTCGTTCGCCGCTGAGGACTGCTTGCCCTTTACCTCCTCCGCGTCGTGCTATTAGCGCTCTCCATTAGCACTCATCGCTACAAGCGATGCCTCCTTCGACCTGTACTAGTTCCACGTTGGAGGAGAAGAAAAACAACAACTCCCAACACAACCGAGGTGTTGTGTTCGATGCAGTAAATTGGGTTTCAATTTAACTGCCCATTCCCGCGCGCGCGCGCGCGCTGAGAACTTGTTGGTAACGCTCGTGATTTTTATCCCATGTTATAATCGCCGGCCGTATCTTTTCGATTTCGAGCGCATGAATATTGGATGCGTTGTTGTGACGTGACCTCTAGGGAAACCCCCTATATATGGGTGTGTGCGCTGAGTATAGGTCGCAGCGCGTACTGCATCGATAACCTATAATCTATTGACTCTCCCACAAATTTGAGATTACTGGGTACGGAGCGACATATCGAGTGTGTACACACCACCCTACATAACTCCGTAAATATATTTTCAGCCAGACGTGGAGCTGGTGGTTCTGATGATGCCTGCGCAAAAAGAAAAAATGAAACTTTCACGGTGAACAAATCGATACGTTCGGAACACATGTTATCCTCTGCAGCCGGAGTACTAATGACCCGGCTGTGGTGTTCGCAAGTGCATTACAGTAAAGCTCCAAAGTCACATTTGCTAACTGAACTCTTGCACCTTCGGTACACAGGAAGCTAGACGCTGTGAACGAAGCACACTATGGGAAAA